GTAGAAGAGTCACATGGTTTCAAAAGAGGATTAAGTATGTATATGATACATACACAAAAGATGAAGCGCAAAATAGAATGACGGGATTCCTTTCGTTATATTTCAACATTCTGAAACTCGATTAATTTTTGCAATTCATTCTGCCTTTCGCTATGTAAATTCTTCGAGTCGTTAAATTATTATTATACACAATAAGACTCAAGCAAAGCAGGTCACTAATATCGAGTCAAGGTATCACTTGTTGCATTAGAGTTCAACTGTTAAATTTCACCTATATTCTTGTTCGTTTATTCTCTTCGATATGCGAAACGAGGTTTTCGCTTTCAGAATCTAGATTTGCATCGGTATATCCATGTGACAATTTGTATCCTAATCGATACAATGAAACTTTGTAGAATTCCCATCGAGAAGAGACGTTAACGGTATCTTCCATTTAATTTTTCTTTGTGGTAGACGACCAATAATACCAATTAACAGCGAAGTGGGTCATTCCAACTTTGTTGGCCTGGATTTTTATTTCTCTATCGCTCGAGCGGCCATTACAATTTTTCGTGTCTTTACTAATCGCATAACGCGGTGTACACAGGTTCTAGCCGATAGAAAATATTTCGGTAAAACGCGATATGATCGAAGCACCAAATTTTCCTTTTAATCCGGTCGCTTATTTTTAACGAAATTATGGTTCCGTCAAAATTAATACAGCTTACGGGAAGCTCGTTATACGGTCACGGAGCACGTGAAGCTCTTGTTTTCGTTCAGAACTTCATCGCTTAAACGGGGCTACTTGTTTTGATCAGTGGTCTCAACCGAGAAATAACTTGACCGAAATGGAGCTTGTCTGTCGTTTTCACGTCCTCTGATCCTTTGCGGAACGACGATGGAGCGAGTCCAATTCGAGGTACATAAACGATGCCCTTTGTCGACGAATTAGGTTACTCAGCTCCTATGACTTAATAAAATATTTAATTCCTTTGATGCGTACCGCTGCTCTCAATTTCAATGACGTTTACGATTAACGTTATGTTTGTTGACTTAAAATTCTTCGATTACTGTTAGAAAAATATGTCTAATCAATCGTAAATATTCTTTCTCGCGGTAACTAAAAATTACGAACTTTTCTGGTAAATATATAATGCCGTTTTTTTATTTGCCCTGGTTTCTTGTTGATACTTTATTTTTCATTTTAAATTCGATTTACTCGATCCAAATGCCGCACGCCTTTTCATTCGAACTGTCAACAAATCACCGGTGACGCTTTTTTTTTTTAATTTTTATAGAACTTTTTTTTTTCTTTATCGAGAATGGGGTTGGCATATTTCATTTTAATTAATCGTTCCAGCAATCGACAGAAGAAGTGTTTCCAACCAATGAAACTATGTAGGCGTTTACGCGTGGTTTAATGTAATAGTTTGATAGGATTTCGTTTCATTTCTGCCCTTTACTAATTAAATACGTTATGGTTTCTTAAAATGAGATTCTATCTCCAACGATAAATTGTTCATACGTGATACTTCATAGAAATTGCGCCTTAAATAGTAATCCATTCGAACAATTCATCACTTTTCTGATAGAGGAAAATTGTTCTGCTCATTCAATGTAAAAGGTGATCTGCCGTCGAGTATTTTAAAGCATATTAAAAATATCAAGGTTTCATTATCGTCTAGTTACTTAAACGTAAGTGACTTTCTATTAACTTCCATTTGCTGACTGATTACACTTTCATAATATTCTCCGTGCATGTACTCTGCAGGAAGACAAAGCTTTGATGTTCCGAACTTCGAAATTGATCGAATATGTCTGGAAAATTAATCCACAAGAATCACCCATTCGAATAGCAATTATCCAACGATCGAAATAGACAAATTGGCCGTTTGCGGTCGAGAGGCGATATTTCGCACCATCGAAATACCCGAATTCATCGAATTTCGATCTCGCGAAGACACGGAGCAACGTCCATTTATCCCAATTCTTGCTTAACTTTTCCCTTTGGTCAAGAATTGCGCGAAATTCGCACGTGGCTCGCTGCAGCGTTCCGCTTGAAATCGGAAACAAGCGAGTCGAGGTTTCAGAGTTACGTAATCGTATCCTTTACAGACTCCGACGCCGCATCCTACGTATCCTCTTAGCCGTTTGCATCAGCCGTCCCCGTAAACGCTTGGCTACCTTTTTGTTTCGGCAGTGCTGATAGCCCAGCTGACGTTCCCTTCTGGGTAAAGTAAAGTTACAGAGGGAAAGCGAGGGAGAAAGTTCGACGGAAAGAAAACGGAGGGAAAAGGGACAGAGGGAACCGGCAGCGCATAAAGGGAGAAATGGAAAACATAAAAGTGAAAAGTCTGGGGAGAAAGCGGGGAGCGGAAAGGAGAGATATGAAAGAAATGAACCGGAGGGACTCTTGAAACATGCTGGCTCGTTTCGTCAATCGATACACCGAGAGTAACTACTGAACTTGCGACTCGTACACCCGCGGTCATAAATATGTGGACATTTTCGAATGGAATAGTATCACTTCGGGTATACTAAAGAAATTCATTGCTAGGACGTTAATATTCGCGAAGGAAGTATTAAGAGCATATAGAGGACGCATAGAATTGTTTTTTTGTTTTGTTATTACTGGTGAGATATTAAAGAAATTATTGGCAATATGTATTCTCCGATGCAGAGAGAATTCAGAAACACAAATGATATTCTTTAACACTAGATTTATGGAGAAACATTCCTTATTTCACAAGGATATTTACATATTTTGTCAATCAGTTATGCTGGCTTTTATTCATATAAGGAGACAAGTATATACCTGGATTCATTTTTGTCCAAGCAATCAATTGTCCACAAACTTATGTACGGGGATGTACGTCACGTTAGCACGGTTATTAAAATATCATTTTCGTTTTCTCAGATCCGTGAAATCTGCTCAGCTGTATACAGGGTGCTTCAGTTATCACACACCCCCTGAACGTATTGTAGGGGTTCGTTTGGGGATATCTTTTTCACCAACACCCGAAACAGGTGTTCTCGCATACCTAAAGATAAGTTTCGCGTTTTATGGAAACGGTAACGGAATTACCACTGAGCATCGTCATGAATAGTTCGCATTAGGATCGGTGTATGGTTACTCCTCGCGGTCGCGAAGTAACACCACGTCACGGTAATAATAATTGGATACGAACGCTTCGTAGTATACGAGATTCGAACGCCGACGAATTTCATCGATCGTTCGTCGTTCACGAATTTTACGATTCAATTAGCTTCCGACTATTGGCTGTTTAGGAGAGTCGATCGCTAGCGACGACTCGACGCGATACGGCGACGAGCCTTCGAAACGGTTTTCTGCGATTGTACCGGTAATAGTAATACTAACGTTAGGCGAGGCAATTTATCGAGGATCACGCTGCGTTGTACGAAAATTCGCGAGGACACGAATTGGACATCGTCCTCGGGACGTGATCCCTAAGGTTCAATCCTCGTACTGGCAGTTTCGCGGATGGCTACTTTACGTTTCGTAGAAAAGTGTCGCGAGCTGTTTCGGCGTATCGAACATGGCGAGCCTGTCGCTGGAAGCGCGCCCAATCGAAAAGTAATTCTGCTTTCGATGGAACGCGGGGAAAATCGGCTAACTCGGTGCCAGACTTCGCGATTAGTTTCGACGCTTAGAGGGAAAGAATTGGCGAGATTTTTATTCTTTTTCTCGAAAGGCAGCGATTAGTAATTGAGCGGTCAGCTGTGTAGCTGGGGAGGAATCGAAGGGCGACGGGTAGGGGGTGAGGTGGAGAGGACAGGGAATGTCCATTTGCAGTGATTTTACAGTTTGAAGGCATTTTGGTGGGCAGTTAAAGAGGGTTACAGAGGGTTACAAAATGGATGGATTCGTATATGGACAAGTTGAAGATTTTGTGTAGTGGTTGATTGAACAGGAATTGTCCACTTGCAGTGACTTTAATGTGTACACACATTTTGCTGATGACAGCTGAGATTGTAGTATGGGTCAGTTATAGGTGGTTATATAATAGGTGGATCCATTTAAGGTGAGCGACATTCCATATTACGATAATTACAAAAGTAGACATCCTTCTATCCTGTACAACTCGGGAAGAAAATCCAAGTAACATAAAACTATAATACCTAGGGTATAAACTCCTTGCAATGAACGAATTAAATCGAAATTCCCCGTCTCCCCCGCCCCTAAAATCGTCATCAAAGTGTACTATTTTCGGAGGACACGAAGCCCGTAACACCCGCATTGAATAATTCATGACGAAAACGAGGGGTTCGCTGCATATTCAAAAGAATAGAAATCATACGCGTTCCACTTCCGTCGGGGTGGCACGTGAAATCGATTTCCCCCGCGCTCGAACGCTATCTATCAGTCCTAGGCCTACGACCTAGGTCGCCCGTTAATGATCCACTCGAACGTCCAGACAACTCTTTCTGCTCCTGTGCCAGTCACAGAGGTCCCTTGTACGCGACACTTAATTGAACTAATCCTAACCCTAGAACGACACACGTTGGTGAGCGATCGGGCGTCCACACTAACAGCACTTGGACAAGCCCTTAGGACTTTTTAAGCTCGATGTTCAGCACATCCTCGGAGTTCTTCCCCAGAACGAGAAAACAGGTCGTGGAGGAAACTGGTGACGCGAGACACGGTGGTGTTTAATCTCCGTCTGGAGGGGGATCTCACAACACACAAAGTTTTGAACGAACGCGTCGACACCTAGCGCGAGCTCTCGTTTCTGGTTAAACCATGCGCCGAGAGGCCGAGGTGTCGATCGTCCAGGGATGTTATCATGAGTACCAAGGTGCCCCCGACGATCTGTCGATCGCCGAGCTCACGTCGAAGGGCTGTCTTTCGCTCAGCGACGTCGGGATGGAACCCGAGGCGCCAACGAAATCACTCTGACTCCGAAAATCCGAACTCGGTGGCTCCTGCCAGCGGGTTACCAGGTTCCCCCAGCTGGCTCCACCGGTCAGGTAGGCTAGAAGGAGTAGAATGAGGCACCCACCTAGGCACCTGCCATTCCCAGGGTCCACGGAACTGCAACCGCTCGTCTGGTTTTCGGTCGTTGGTCTCTGTACCTCGGGATGAGACACGCGTTCTACCTGCTGACTGACCGTCCACGGATCGCCTTCGGTGTCCACGATGTTGTGCCTCGCACCGATCGCCGTATTGTCCTGGATCGCCTCCTGATGGTTCACAGGTGGCCCTGGCTTGTCCCTGTCCAGGTCGTCGTCGAAGTCCAGGGATGTGTCCGTGCCGTAGAACACTAACTTGAATTGCTCTAGCGTGTCTGCAACATTGGGAAGTCCTTTCATTTTTTTAGATTCTTTAAGCAGGGATGACTGAATCATTCCAACGAGACGGAGACTTTGACACGTTGGCTGTCAGATTGATAATTATAAAAATTTGTAGGAACAAAACATTTTATTTGGAGTCAATTGGAATTTACATAACGGAATGGTTGATACTAATTGAGTACTCAAAGTACATACTGGTACTTTCAGAATAAAATTTGTCAAGTTCCTTAACGAAACGAATTTATAACGAAAGTGGTCGAATCTCAGTCTCGTTAGTGGTTTGTTTATCTACAAAACAACTGCATTTTAAATAATTTTAATTAAACACATACATCGAGCCATAAGAAGGGTGCTGCATAGGTGACAAATATAAATCATATATAAATAAATCTGTATGTATGTAGAACCATGCTAGAAATCAAAGGACAATTTTCAAAACATTTTCAAACATGTCAGAATACTTGTTTCGACGTCGAAAAATGGGTCAAGCACTTCCACGCTATTTTGAAAAGCGAGGAAGCTACCAATAACGATCATCGATTGCGAAAAAGAGGAATTCAAGTTTTACGGAATCGTTTCTCTTCCGTGCAAGACTAATCTCCGCGTCATTTGTCGGATTTGGATGGGAATTCAATCGTGGAAACGATAAATTGTTGGATATAATTTGTAGCGATTTGCAGTTTCAATTGTAATCTTAGTTCCATTTTTCCAGGAGTGACAGGATATTAATGGTGGAGAGAGCTGAAAAGGTGCGCGAAATCAAAAGCGTTTCGAACGAGATTGAATCGAGATAAAAACTATCGATACTGGTAAGTACCGTCAATTAAAGTTTTTATTTTATGCTTTTTTTTTATCAGACGTTTCGTCGTTAATTAAAACGTTTGACAGTTGAAGTGATCGAATCAACTGATTGATTTTTTTGTACGGGAATTTACTCGTAACAGATCAAAGGAAGTATTAGGGTTACTTCATTAGCTCTTGCGTCATAAAATGGTTGAATTAATCACATGAATTGTATATGTAACTTATACATAGCGATGTAATTTGTTTATCTATATATTTCTCTTTTTCTTTTTATTTATGTATTTATATCTCCTTGCATAGATATTAGTATAATTTTAATTAGAAAGAGAAGCTTCATTGTTTACTGTCTGATGTGCGATTCACTTAATGGAACACTTCAAATCTGTGTAATGCAATTTTATCTAGTAGAAATAGTTACACGTGGACGCTAACCTCATAATGTTGCATAGTGCTCACCGCGATACCCTTAGTTTCTAACTAATAACAAGTGGACTTCCTACTTTGTTTATGCTCCCAGACCGGAAATCACATTAAACGCTTTACCCTCATTTCCATGTTCCAGTAACCACGGGCAAACTAGTTAAATTCAGTCTTATCAAGTGAAAAACAAAACACCGCGTGGTAGCGCGAAATACAGATTGAGGGAAATTGGAATGACGAATGATCTATGCGAACGCTGCATCCATCGAATCTTTTCTTTTCACGACGAAGGCCAATGAAATCCCAGCTTTAACGTGAAATTTGACCTGAGGCTTTGAAACTTCTTGGAAACAAACAAAAAATATACCGAGACCCCCGCTCTGACCTCCAATATTACTAATTATAACGCTATTTAGTAAATTACTAGCTTAATTAAACAATTAATAGTTACGCAATTATTTGAAGCATCGTAAGAGATTAATATTTGCTGAAATTAATGAATGTTTAAGTAAGTACTTACAAGCAATCTAAACAACTGATAATAACTGTGTACTAAGTAACACGCGGTGCTGTCTAACATGTAAACCTACTGAACACGCATTCTCATGCACGCAAGCGATTCAGGAAGGCAAGCATTACTTGTAGCGAAGTCATTGGAAGTTTTGATTAAATGGCGTTGCCTGCATACACCCCCTTCAACAAGTTTTCTTATTAGGGCCATAGTATCTTTCAAGAAGCTGGACTGTAATCATTTCGGCGACAAACTTTGGTACTAATAACGAGTTTACGAAATAATTAACGAGTTTATAAAATGGCATGCAAGTTTAATCGAAAGTATTCGGTGCGGCATTAAAGATGTTAGAACGACAACTTATAGTTGGAAAAAAATTAATGCGTAATTATGAGAGATACTTTCAGCTATGAGTTTAACCTATCGAAACAAATTGCAATTTTCAAAGAATTTTAGAGGTTTATTATAATAAATGTAACAATGCTTCGACATGCAGAATCAATAAAAATAATCAGGGAATTGCCTCGGTGAGTTTCTGTAACTTACAACACATCAATAAAATTAGGTACGGTTTAGAATCATTACAGAGCAAACAAAACAAAAGGGGATGGCGGGGGAGAAAGTAAAGTATACCAAATTCAATTAACTCTGTAACTTTACACAGGGGTGCGCTTCTATAGTATACATTTCACTACTGTTGTAAGGTGCAGCGCGAGGCTGTATGTAACGCGAATCCGTGTGCACGTGGGGTCCAAAAACATCGTTACGCAAATGGCGTTCTCGCGCGTTAACAGTCAGTTTCAAGTGAGAACTGACAAATAACTTCACGTCCCGACGTCTCCGAAGAAGAGCTGGTTTGGTGCGAAACGTCAGGAGTTTTCAACAGTAATAATTCACCCAAATAACGCGCTTTTCAAGAGAATACTCTTTTTTTCACAAGTGTCGATGCAATTTTTATGATATTTCTTCCAATGACAGTAGTTGACATAATTTCTTAAATTTGGTATGTTTATTTATAAGTATATATGCAAGATTCAATGAAATGTTTAACTGCCCTGTTCAATTATTTAAATATAGCGCGCTAAAAAGATTTTAAAGGTCTTACGTAACAGGAATATAAAAATAAATATATATTTCTTTTACCCAAAATATAAATTGACTCCCTTACGCAACACGAATGTTAATTTCTTCCACTTTTTAACCCAGAAAAACGAGTACTCTCTTAAGCCCGGCCACGCATTAAGAATTTAATTTAAATTCCACTTGCAGCAGACTTGGCGCCACGTCGCCCACGGATTGCCCATTACTGCGCATCCAACAAAAGCGGAATACCCTTGTCCATGTTCTTCGAGTCCAACATCTGCTCGTCTTGCAGCAAGTCCAGACCCTTCGCCCTGGTGGCGTGCTGACCTGTGCCGCGCACTCCAGCGAAAATAGGATAGAGAGGGTAGAGTTGTTGGATCTTGTGGTACTGTTGGAAAAACTCCGGCACATTTTCGATGACAGGCTTCGCTGGTGGCTCGAGGAGGATGAGACCCGTCTGGAGGGACGACGTGGTCACTATCTCGACGATTCTTTGTCTGCTGGTCGCTCTGGTGGTTGGAATCGTCGTGGGAGGTTTGGTCTGAGCGATCGTAGTGGTGATTGGACTCGGTGTGCTTCTTCCACGTGGCCTGGACGTGATTAGGCGAACTTCTCCAGCGGCGTTGGGTCCTCTGACTGCTGTCAACCCTCTCAATGTCTGCACCGTCGGCTTCGTTGTTGGTTTGTTCGCAGATTTCCCATTCTTGTGCTGACCACGCGCCTTTCCTTTCCTCTGAGACTGAGTCTGAGCGTTCACCACGTACGGTGGGCTGAGATTTCCCGATTTTTCGGATTTGTGTTGAGTCTGCTTGCTCTTGGCGCCTGTCAGAGAATTCTGCGCCTTCGAGAACGCGGTTTCGCGCGGCTTCACGAATGGTCTCCTGGGGATGCTGATGCCAGCGGGGTTGTACAGAGCGTACTCTGTGCGATCGGGCAGCGTTGCTGTCCCGTAGAAAATCAACGCCCACTCGTGGAGAGTAGCGCGGCCTGATACGCCAGGGTTCGTCAGGGCAGCAGGAAATCGAAGAATAGCATTATAGAGACATTATAGACTAATAACTGGGAATTACTTTTAATCTAGTTTCTGTTCGCGGCTTACTTCATAGGCCACGGTATTTAAAATATTTATCTGCGATGAACGTGTTCAATACGTAAAAGGGCGATGTAGGCATAAGTGTTTGCGAGTAGACCATCTAATTTAAGGAAAATCAATGTAGTTTGAAGGTGCTCTACGTAAGGATTTATTCAAGTGATTGCTAGAAATCTTCGAGAGTAAATGAAAACTCACGTCTGGAAGCCTGATTGCTTTCCAGGATGTTAGACCACGAGTGACTGGGAACTAATTTACAACTCAATAGATACTAATTGCTTCCAGGTGCCTCTGTTCAAGACGTCTCCCTGACAACCACCCCGAAGACATAATACTCTACGTTTCAAATCGTTTATTCCACTGCTTAAGAATTGTTATTATTACAAGAAGAAGCCTGTCCCTGAGCAGCAAACCATAATTTACCTCTGTAAACTTGTTCGCGGAGCAAATGTTGCGTTAAATCGTGTTGTCTTAAAATGTGTCATTGGGTTTCCAAGCTTGTATCGTGTTTGGGCAAGGACGACGAAGGCGGTCCAGGCGTTGTACAGGGAATCAAAGCAAACATGACGTACGGCGGTTTAAATACCTGTACTTGGAGTGTAACCTGCGCATTATACAGGACAATAGAGCGAGGATCCACCTTGTACAGGGATACGCTAGACCATAAGCTTAAGTTAACTCGAATCTATCGGCTTTAACAGGCTTCTAGCTTGAAGTACTTCGAACGGTCCCACCCTGCACAAGGTCAGCTTCCCCTAGCGGCTCGTGAGATCCGTTGGCGCTGGATGCAATCGCGAGGGAACATGCTCCGAATATGGAATTATGCCCTTGGGAGGTGATGCAGGAGCTTACGTGGCCCCCACATGCTCGGTTTACGAGAATTCTCTTCGTGTCCTCGAAGATGAGATAATAAGATAGCAGATGGATGTTATCGCAGTCCATGGAACTGGTGTTAAACGACGCTTTTCACGTTTCATAGGAAATTTCGAACAAGAGTGAACGATCTGTTGTTGATTATTTTTGGGGCACGATCAAGGAACACATCGAAACAAACACTTATGGTCATTGAAATATAGACCGTAATTTTTGTACACAGTTTTATTGAGGATAGATAAAAATACAAATAAATTGCCTTTCCTTCAACAGAAATACATTTCTTTCATCAGATAGAAAGTTTTCCGATCCCATCACAAAAAAAATTTACAGACTCCGCAAGAACGTGAGAGTAAGGAGATTGAAAATCATGTGTCAAGAGGTATCTTCTTAATGCTTTTATTTATTTTGGAGCGTTAAAAGGGGAAAGATTTAAAAACAACACAGCGCGCAGCAGCGGTTCAACTGTACTTGTGCAATTGATTACTGGAGCAGCCAACTGCTTTTTTCCTAAGGGGATTAGAAAACTTCCTATCTGATGAAGAACATACTGTTGAAGAAAAGTATGTAGAAAAATAAAACACCCCATTTGTATTTACATCTATCATCAATTAAGTTGTGTACAAAAATTCCGGTTTATATTTGAATGAGCCTCTTAACATAATTTACTTGAATGCACTTATAGTACTTGTAAGAGAGGTCGGTTAAATGTTGCGATCGAAATTTTGCCAGGTGGAATCGAGGTTTCTGGATCACTCGGAATGTCCTTTAACTCTGTAGTCATTTTGTCAGATCTGGATGTTTTCGCGATGATCGAGGAGGACATTGCACAAACACCTGCGCCTTGAATACATCTGAGATACAAAAGTTGCCGCTGGGAATTTACTATGCACGGATACGAGATCCCGAGATGCTCCATTTAGGGGCAAATTTTACGTAATGAAGTTTACACAGCTATTAGCTTTAATGGGACTGTAGGAGCAGCCTGGAGTGGTCTTAATACTTGCATAAGGTCATTTACTTCTCCTGGTGAGTGAAAGCCACCTACACCGAAGCCAAGGTGTGAGTCCAGAATCAACTGAACGCGTTTAGATGAAATAAGCTGTGTGCAAGGATTACTTACAGCCATGAATTAGGGGATGTTGTATCTAATAATCCCTTTGCTTCTCTGTACTCTCAGAAAGTATGAATTCGAATATCACATGGCCTGATATAATGATGATTTACCCTTTCTTTTTTGAAATTCTGCGTGAAATATTCACGAAGTTAAAAGATAGACTGTAAAGGATTTAAATTGGAAAGTGTCAATACGAGCTAATGATTAACTTTAACCCATTCACTATTCGAGGAATAAGTTCACAGCCTTGCGAGTCACGAATTATTGGAACAGAGTATCGTAAATTTTCTTTTTAATAACCTAGATTACACATTTAATTAAATCTTGGCGCCAAAGGCAAAACGCTTTAAATTTACCTGGCAGTGAATGGATTAACAGTTTTATATACACATATTTTCATTTCGATTAATGCTTTTCCTCCGATCAAAGAGAAAATTCGCAGAACGTATGAACGGAGTTCCATTTTAACATATCTGGAAACATTGTACGGTATGAAAGAAAAGGAACAAAAAGATCGAGACAATGGGCTTACCTTGATATCGACCCTCATTGTGGATTTCAAGTTTCCACGTGCCGTGTGGCCTTTCGCCCCAAGTGTGAACCGACATAAATGGCCATTGATCGAAACCGGCCTTCGAGACGTCGTGCTGCCTTTTTGCAAGCAAAGTACTCTTCGTACCCTGTGGAGATGTTAGTTGTATCTGAAGATCTCCTCTTCTGGTGGCCATCAGAGATACCTTCGCCTGCGAAAGACGAGTAATATCGGATGTATACGAAATGTTCCTTGCCCCTAGCTGGAATATCAAGACGCGACGCTGCCGTGATCTAGAAAGCTGGTCCATATGGAAATCCTTTAAAAGAGGACTTCTTCAAGTACTCGACACACGCGCCGGAAAAGGGAATGGATTTTATTAGAAAACGTGACTTTGCTCTTATGATTTCCGGCTTTACGAATCCGCGAGTTCGCGATAAATCATAAAAGGGATGTCTCGTTGACGTATTGCGAACATATCGCCTTCTGCTTGTAGATTCCGGCAGGTGAAATGCTATCTAGTGAAACAGTTCGTCAAGTTTATTTTAATGAATAGTAGCGAACGTGAGAAGAGTTTCCTGATTGGTCAGAGATACAGAGGTTACGTTTTCTGGATAATCGAAGGTCGTTAGGTATACGGAGCACAGTTATTTTTACCCACTCCAAATTTTACAAGCAAAGATACAGAAACCATTTGTAAAAAAAAAAAAAAATGAAGAATGCATCGAAGATAAATTGAAATTTCGTAAACCTTCTGCTATTAGATCAGCCAGGTGAGATTTTTAATTTTTCTGCGTCGCATTTCCGTAATAATTTCTGGACATAAATTTTCCACGAGTGCGAAAACATTCACGGCAGTTTTCCGCGTTAAAGTGATTGTAATCTATCAAGAGGGAAACTAACCTGCAGCTTGCGCGAGTGACACGGTACTTACCTGCACGTGCTCGAGAAAATTAACACCGCTACACTCCTTGACGTGCAATTCCAGAGTTAACTGGCTCTTTGGTGGTATTGGCCTATAATACACGTGAAATTTAGGTCAGTCGCGTAAGTGGAACGCGGAGTGTCTCGACATTATTTTTTAACGCTCGTTTCATCGATTCCGTTAAAAAAATTATTTTATTACTTCGGTTTGACGTTTTACTGATATTTAGGAACACTCTTTCGCCCGTAGGGGTTTCAACGATAAAAATTCTGCTGCTTCGAGAGTCGCCGAGCAAATTTTATACGGAAGAAGTAATTCGCGTAGCAAGGTCCGTGCAATTATTTATTTTGTAATCGATGTTAGAGCACGGATTGATTTACCTGCCCATGTGTGGTGCGGAAACTTCACATTTGTGTTGCTCTGGCACTGTTCGCCATCTTCTGGCTAATCGCACCATGGCGGCAGCGTCCATCAGCCCATAGCCGAAGCTATGACTTACTAAAAATAAATTCGAAGAAGCATTAGTGTGCAGGAAGAAGTAATTGTAATTATTCTTCAATATTCGTACCATTTCAGAAGCAGCAAAGTAAAAATTACACGGTACAAGGAAAAGAAACATATATCGAGGAAATCGTAGAAAAGAAAATATACGAATAATTTTGCAGAAATTTCTAGAATTCTGATTTCTGTATCGCCAACAAATTTGTAAAACTTTTTACTTCTATTGCATAGCTGCACCCGACGCATATCTTTTTCCCGCTATCAATCACATCCGCAGTTTTGCACATACAAATGTTTTATTCGAGGGTAGCTGCCGTCGATCACCGATGATCGACGTGACCCGAATGGAACGCGCGGCGTCGATTACCAGTGATAAACGTAGCGGAAAATGTGCCACACGCGCGATAGTAAGAAGTTCCAAGGTTGAAACTACCGAAACTTCCGAGTGTAAGCAGTATCCTTTTTCAGCTATCTTCTTCGGAGATCCTATGACACCCTGACATTGTCATCTGATCCCTGAAGAAGCTAGATCTTTGCAAAAGGAAGTTTCCAAACGTGATTTCCAGCTTACCATTCCTTCCCACGCCGTTGGTCACCCAATCAGGGGCCTTCAAGTTCGCAGGTTTCGCTGTCCTCACGACGATATGTTGCATGTCCCTCCAAGTCAACTCTTTGTTCGCCTCGAGGGCGAGGGCGCAGATACCAGCAGCCAATGGTGCCGAAGCAGACGTCCCTGTGTGACTGCTCGTGCAGTAGTGATGTAAATCGGTGGTCACCACTTGTTTTTCCCCTGTCGAACCTGAACTGTAGGTGGTGGCCAGGGTGGAGGAGCAAGCTTCGCTGTACCAGGGCACCTGACCGTTCTCCGTCGCGCTGCTGATGGACAACGTCCAGATGCTGTTCGTGTAGCCGTCGCAGTTGCAGTTGTCGTGGTCCCTGCCACCGTTTCCTGACGCCCAGACGAAGATCGACCCTTTACCATTCCGACCCTGGCAATTAAAGAGAAGAACTTGACGGTTGAGCTTTTTTTTTTTAAAGATATTAACCCATTCGCGACCGCTGACGCGAATTCACGTCATTTCAAATTTTATTCCTGGTTTCTATGCTATTCTATTCTATTAATAAGAGTATAATTGATTCATTTCTTTTCAAAGTAATATTAGTTCGAAATTGAGTAGAACCTCGCTAAGATGATTTCGTAGGAGAGTTCCTTAAAAATATTAAACCGTTTTGCATCTACCGGTTACCTCGCAAACTACCACTGGTAGAAAGTTTCTTTATGAATATTTAACGATTAACATTGTATCCGACAGAAGTGCCTTAAATGCAGAAGTAACGGTAGTTAGACTGGAAAGATAAATTCACATTTTGGGGAGGACGACAGTGGCTGGCAAACATCGTTACATCAGCATGCAGATGGAACGTAAAAAGTTTCGTGGGTAGTCAAATCTTAGGTGTTCGGTGGAAAGGGCTTAAGGGAGCTGTACATCTTTCTTTGGAATAAATGAATATTCAAAAAGTGTGATAGGCTCTGCAATTTATGTATAAGGGTCAAAGAAGTTGCTAAATGTTTTGGATCCATTAAGAACCAATTTTGCATTAATTCTGCAACGTTTCATTTGCAATCGTCTTTGACCTATTCGCGTTATTTAATTCTGTTTTTCGATATTACAATTATAACAAAGAGTTCCAAGTATTTAGAACTACTTCTTTCTTCATCCTGGTTTTACAATTGTAATCGCAGAATTCTGAGTCAAACCTTTTGTAAAAATAAAAACAAAATATTTTTCTGAGAGGCAATTCTTTTAACTCGAAAATAACGAGGTATATTTAATATGCAAATTAAATGATTGATAAAACACGATAATACCAATAGAACGGTATACTTTCTCGTTGGTTTGTTGGAATAAAGCGATGGAGGTCGGGAGCAGTTTTATTGAATGCAGTTGACTCGCAATATAACGTTCTTCACTGTTTACTCGCAGAGTTTGTTTTTGCTACAGGTAAATTTGTTCCTGCATATTTAATAAAATACTGCTTTTGAGGAATACAAGCGTTTACAATAGCCGAGAATTCATGAATTTCGAAATGAATATTTTAACATTGTTCTCGCTATAAAGAAATAAATAAAACGTTTTAATTAATATCGAGAATTATATATAAATCGTCGATGTAAACGTTGGAACTGTAATTGTGTTTCGACGTATACTCGTGTTTTCGTAAACGGCGAAAATACGGTTCATGTTACCATCAAATTTGTAAAAATAACATTTTCTGTCGGACATATAAATTCCGCATAAAGTGCACGTTCATTTCACGGTGGATGGTATAGACAGGGAACTCAAAATGCCCACATGATCGTGATAACCTTTTTACGATCCCCACGTCACTATATCGATGCGACCTACCTTCAATTTTACAGGGTGAGTTTAAATTTACGAAAAAGTTGCTAACAATAAAATGAATAAATTCGTAATGACAAGTGATAAAGCAGAAATTTTATAACAAGAATAAAATAAAACTATCGTAAATAGAAATGCTACCGTTCCAGCATACAATAATGAAATTGAGAGTTAAAATTAGAATTGATTAGAAACCATATGAATATTGTTAACCTCATATCCTCGTTAAAATTCTTAAATTCTCAATCATATTTGTTCAACAAACAGAGATCTATTTTTGTCGTAAATTAAAAGTAGTGAGTTCGTCAGAATTTGGAAAATTTAGTGTATTGGCGAAATCGATGATCTATAGTCTCAATTGTAGTATTGACGAAATTAATTTTCCATTGGGGTTATTTTAACCACTTTCAAATGGCGAAAGTGCCTACCAATATTTGCTTTGACTTATAGACTCCCCCGCAGTAGGTAAGATTAAAATGGTAATGTGTGAAGGTGTGAATAGTCGCGGGGACAGATTGTCTAATAGCAGCCAATTAGAAACTTTAGGTTTGGCTGACCTCGTCGGCCTGAGTCCGTTAAGCCAGGTCTAAACGAAGTTCCTCGTTTTGCACCGTAATCGAATCACGGTTGCACCAGGCGACAATCATTTCGTCGAGCGAAAGAATTATTTCTCGATAGTCCGATTTATCAGAACTATGAAACAAATTAGGTAGTCAAATCGCTTTAAAATATCGCTGGAAATTATTTTCAAGAAACTCGATCTTAATTAAAATTTTTCCTTTTATACGCTGTGTAAACAACAAAATTTGTCTTCATTTATGTGTGTCTGTATGAATAATTGAGTTGTATCTTGTCGAATATCAAAGGTACGAATGAAAATATTACCGGCAAGATAAAAGTAAAAGATACTCGAAAAGCACTCGAAACTTGTTTCATATTACAATCAGAATATCGTTCAGGTCGAATGGTTCCCTCACAGCAGATGTTCTTTTTCATCTCCAATATTACATGGTATACAATAATTACGTGATCCTTTCGTGCAATTCGTACGTAATACGAGTTATCGGATAACTGGATTACTTCACGATGCATCATTAGTTTCGCGACGGTAGATGTAACGTCCTATGGTTGAAGCATTCGGTCTACGGAGAATTCGAATATTAAAGATAGCAAGGGAAACGGTAGGTAAACGAGACAAAGGGAATAAAAGTAAATAAGGAGGGCACTTTCAAAGCACTGGAAACTTGTTTCATATTGTGATATAGGACGTCGTTCAGATCAACATTTCATTTCGATGCGGATGCTCTTTATGAATGAGACATTAAATTAGATCGTTATAAATAAAATACTACCGGCAGAGAGGAGAATTCGTAAAGAGTTAAAGGGTTAATAATTTATATTGAAAATGCTAGAAGAAACAAAATTAGTCTAGCGAAATAGTAAACAGCCAGACCAACAGGATCATACACGGAAATGTCATTTGATAAATGCTCTGACGCAGGTGCTCTTTAAAAATGAGAAATTAAATTAAATCCTTCTAAAGAAATTCTTACTGAAAGAAAAATTCGCGTATGGAAAGGTTAAAGGTTGAATCCTTTATGTTGGAGATGATATAACAAACAAAATTAGTCCTAACGAAGTAATAAACACTTTTATAGACTAATTTATGTTTTTCACGTTTGAAAATTAATAGTTTGTTAAAAACTCAGTGGCCACAAGCATGAAAGTGGTACTAAAAAAAAAAAAATGTTACACCAGCTTCGTTAATAGCGGTTTCTTTAATTTGTATCTACAGCTATGTGCAAGGTAACAATTAGTTTCTTGGTTTTATGGAACGCTGTTCGACACGTTGAAGTTCGTTGTCTGAGGAATGTGACAAAGGGCCTTCGTTTCTACTGGCAAACGCAATCGAAGAGAGTCGCTTCCGCGCAAATGCAAGGCGTATTATACACCGAGATAACAAAGAGGTAGCTGCCTTTCCATTGTCGTCCCGCGGAGATCTCGGGGATGCTTTAGACGATACATTTCTGCGAATTTCATTCCAGGAAACGGTTCTTTCGATGTTATCGCAGGGGACGGACGGGAATTTTCTTGTAACTATCACAAACGAAGTAACGAATTTTCTATTTTTCGAACAGACTCGCGGATAAGTCGCAAAGGAACTCGGCTTTATGCGCCCGAGGAAACTTCAGTTGTCGATAGGATCGTTCGAGAAACGAAGAAACGAAGAAACACCGATCCAGTAAAGAAATCGAGGCAGACAGCATAAGCTAAAGGGTTTTATAGATATTTAGAGTTCCTGGTGGACATTTGAAAGACAATTAAACACGAATTGTTCAAAAATTGGGGTAAAAGTTCTTGGAAAAATATGTCGTTTAACGGGCTAAATAGATTTTAAAGTATAAATATAGATAGATAGATAATTTATTCTTTGTAATTTGTTCATAAAAAAGAACCTTTGCTTACATCACATCATTCACAAATCATAAAAAGATTCTAGAATTCTAGGAAAGAATTTAGATTCTAGAAAGAGATTGATACGTAAAAATATTTTACCTGGGAAAAACATCTTTATTTAAATAGAGTATAAAAAACTATAAAAAATTCAAATTTTCGAAAGAGATTAATATATAAAAATAATTTTATTTGAGTGAATTATGAAACTAATATTATAATATATCTCATGTATGAGGTGGAAAAGATTTAATAATAAAGGTTTAAACGAGGAAATTTTGATTATCGCGAAAAGTTCATCACTTCCGTCTGAATCTCACTTTAATTCGTGGAAATGGTAGGACCGGAGTGTTTACCAACCTTCGTGATTCCTTCGATGAAAGCTCTGGTGGCAAGTTCACCGGGGCCATCGACGGTTTTCCCATCATCATCCGGTCCCCAGGAGGCACTGTAGATGTCGATGTGCTGAGGATTCAGACTGAGAGACCTGGCCTCGACGGCGTCGGTTACGTCTCCGTCCAACATTCTCACCCCTGGGCGTGAAAAGCGAAACGAAGAATATTTAATTAAATTCGCGTCGCGTCGCGTTCGAATTTCGTTTTCAGATATTTACGTTCTTGTCGCGGTCCTGTGTTTTATTTGACCCTCGACTGCTAGGGTGGAGTGCCTATGTAATCGATAAGGTGATCAACCTTGATAAAAAAAAAATTAAAAATAAAAATTCATGTTGGAGAATCGCGATTTAGTCTAATTTTATACGTTACGTTTGCGTTCTATTAATGAAGTATTTTTATGTGAATAATTAGGAAGCATCTCGTTGTCGATAATCAGCAATTGAGAAACTATATTTGTAACGTCAAATGATAAATTTAAACATTATTAATTATTATTATTGAAATTATTATTATATTGTTTACTATTATTATATTGAATATTATCATTTTGTTAAACCTATGTCAAACCACTAATAGACAAAAATAAGTATAATTTGGACCCCACCCTATCAGGCGAGGGTGCAACAATGTACACTTTTTGGAGAATTCTGTTTTACGGATTAATTAGAGTGTACGGAGTGTATGGAGTGTATTCCGAATCATGCTCGCAGTGTGCGGTTTCAGCACTGCTACATAGTGCTCCTAACTAGAGGCGAGTCCTCCACTGGTTACTGCATCGATTACAGTTTTGAACTTGCTACCAATTACGGAATTGGGGCTAATTTCGTCCTCTCAATTTGGGTCTCTGTGACAATACACTAGCAAATCTTGTTAAATCTGCACCACGTGCTGGTGACTACCTGTACGTATCAAATTAGTCCCTCACTTCGTCAACTGAGAGTTGTTTTATCCAACGATACGTGCTATCGTAGATAACAGAACCATACAGTTGTAGAACGATAATACAGAAGTATCAAAACGGTATAACGAAACAAATAACAATGTATAATGTCTTGTCAAGAGATTTCATTGTGTTAATAAAACAATACAGACTGCGATATTATATTTCATAATGATTTTCATTACTTCGTCCATTCTCTATCATTTAAGGACTCCAAATGACACATTCCTATTATTACAGGATCGTCAATCGTATAAATTTAAAGACTTTGAAGAAAATGCGAAGAACAAAACCAGGATTTTTTCGGCCATTTTGATGGGCGAAATCCTCCTAAAGTTCCAAGACTTTACAGCTGCGTTCAGCTTGTTTTACGATCCTCCGTTACGCGTCTTCTTTTGTCCCGAGGGGTTGAATTCGATTCTTCACGAAGACTTACCACCGACACCAGCACCAAAGGCGACGCCGACAGCGCAGATGGAATTGTTAGCAGTTGCAGCAACTTCACCAGCGCATCTGGTGCCATGTCGATTACTGTCCAAGAGATCGTACCTCGGCATGGGATCTTCGTCGTGATTGTTAACGTCATAGCTAGCCTGTGGATCCTGAAACAGCAATTTAACTCTTCACGTGAGTCTGCACTTTCAGTTTTTTTCGTTTCGCAATTATAATCAATCTTAAAAAAAATTTCGCAGCGTTGCTGCAAATAATATCGCTTGTATTGGCAATCTACATTTTTATTACTGTCACTAAAACTATTCTCTTTTAAATTTTTTATTCCTCAAACTATTTCGGAGTATTTTATTTTTACAAAATGCTAAATTTTGTAGTGAATAAACTTTTTCTGTAATTCGGCGCTTTATTCAGAATCTCGAGGGTGGCTTCACTGCTCATTTTATTCTGCGAATGAAAGAAAAATCGTGTTTAATATTTTCCACTGCAAAATTAAAAAAAAAAAAAGAAACGACGCGTTACAGTTGGTCAATGATTTTCGCGAGACAAAGAAATGAAACAATAAGTTGGCAAGTTAGTACCGATTGAACTAGTTTCGGTATTAGTGAATACACCTTGGCTAGAATTTTACGAAGTTTGCCGGGAATATCGATTTCCCACTGGTTTCGATGTAATTGCTTTTTCCTTCGGGCGGTTTACAAGAGATTGTTTGGGAGCACCGAGTTCGATATTACCGTTCTCAAACTCCATCACACGAAATTACATCCGAAGGCTTAAGTGGGTCTCGTCGAAACAAAATATTCATAACAAGCTCATTACCTTTACTTAACTGACAATGAACCTTAAAAATATATGCGAAGGTTTACATAGTACTTTAAAGTATATTAATGTCGGTGTTATCACTACTCTATTTTATAGTACATTTAATATTTTATGAAACACTTTATGTATTCAAAGTATGTAGGTCGCTGATACTTCATTATTTAGGAGGATAATATACTATTAGAAAGCATCGTTGTTTCTCCTCGAGCGATAAGAGTTATAAGCGCACTGGGTTATGGGATATTATATATTATTTAATAAAAATTTAACGCGAAGGCGAAAATTAATTCCAAGGAATTCAGACTGTTTAACTTATACAAGGTTTACATGTATATTAGAAGCTTGGAAAAAAATTGTAGTTGCACGCATGTATGCTAGAAATGGTCCTGCGTTTGATTTATTGTTGAGAGGCCTTGTTGGTCTTGCAGTGCTATTAAAAATAACGACGATGTCAAGGTGGTCTTGAAAACTGTTATTGGAGAGAAAACGTAATATGGAAAGTAGGGCTTCGTTATTATGTAGTCGTTATACATGAAAAATATAGTATTCGTCAAAAATAGTATACATGAAATATAATATTACATAAAATCAATAAATACAGAAAATAATTACACATCTACTTAAACAGTTCTATTACGTATAAATACATCAGAATTTTCTTTTCATTCAGATTTATTACATACGAATAAATAAAATTTTATTCTCTTTCAGAGGGGAGAGGATTGGTGTCCATAATAAATGTTCCTCCGTCGAGGGAACCCATGGGAAAGTTTGAGAGACTCTACTTTAGATCAATATCGGAGTAGTCTGCCGCGTCTGATCATGAACGTCCGTATCTACTGCAAGATTATAGAGCTCTCGGGCACGCATTTCTCTGCGGTTGCCTTATTAACCTCGGTCATCCACTGGCAAGCACACAGTTCACGGTACGGTTCAAGAATGCTCCTCGACTCTGAATTCCGGCCTGCAACTTCGATAAGCGCGAGTTCCCTCGTTACAACCCTTGTTGCTCATTCTTTCGTATTTCTCGCATTAGTTTGCAGCCGGGCGGTCGCGCGGCCCGCGCCGCACCTAATCTACTCGGTTGCAATAACTTTCGCGCCGTAACTAGTTGGAATTGGATGTTTAGTGGCCGTGCCGTGTAATTCATTGGAGTTCCTAAGTGGCCGCACCGGTTTTTGATACCTGCTCCGTACATTTGTACGCGTCCTTGTTTTGCAGTGCGGCTGACCCTTTTGTTCGCTCTGTTTCCCACAAACGGACAGTTGGCTTTTGATATTCACCGCGAGCAGGGACGAATTTCTGGTAATTACACGGGAATAAAGCTTCTGGTTCTCGAGGTTTACATTTGCAGCGTAGAAGAATGTCTGTATTTTGGGAGTTTGGCTATCTTCGTGTGGAGTATCGTTTATTGTTGTGTTGAATATATTAGTTATTTAGGGATTAATCGACCAGAGCACTTGTATGCATTAGTTTCTGTCGAAGCACTTTAATATGTTTTTTAAAATGGAAAACTTACGTAATTTTTACAGAGATCGGGGTGATCCTTTTCCAATCCGTCATCAAGTATCGTGACCACCACACCACGTCCAGTAATTCCATCAGCCCAAGCGTCTTGCACGTTCATGTCCAATCCGTTCCCCCTATTCTGAAACAAATGATCGATAACTACATTTTACTCACGCTCCAAACAAAAATTAATGAATTTCTTTCCCATGAAGACGTGTGATTATAAACCCCTGTTCAATGTTCAGCATTATTCACCCCCGCTCAAAACTATATTACTTCCTTAATAGAAATAAATATCTAATAAAAATTGCGAATCTATTAATATTAATTGTATCATTTATGTTTCGATATGTTTATGTTGCATTAGTGAATATATTATGTTGGTTATCGATTTGTGCAGTGAACGACTTATATATTCATCGAACAACGAAATTTTCCAACATTATCCATTTAAATTCCTTCTGATTCCTCTAAAGGTTTGACGAATTCAAACGAAATCATCGAAGGTAACTAACCAAGTACCACATTTGAGGCCACCTCTCGTCGTCCAAGATAGTCTGTAGACTGGATGGACCGCGTTTGATTATCAGGTCCCGTTTCGTTCGTGACTTGACTCGTTGTTGCTCCGCTCGACGCACCCTGCGGTCTCGTATTAGCCTCTCGTGTGTCCCAAGATGCGGTTCCGTGGACCTCTTCACCACAGATGTGTGCACCATGTGGTACCAGTTGTCGACTATCTGCAACAAAGAACAGTTCCATATTAATATGCTTTCCCCCGTAATCTAGGAGTCTAATGTACTCGTTGCTCTACGTATACCACGAATGAATTTTAACGTGGGCTATTAGGAACGTTGGGAACTTTGGGAAAGAAGGTTTTCCTAACACAAACAGGAACAAGGGACGGGAACTTTCCACATTACGGCGGGATTTTCATTAAGGACGAAGGATTTATCATTTTTGGATCGAGGTGAAAGTATGCGTCGCTCGTAAAGCCAGATTATTTGATGCACAAGTTTGTTCCTCGGTATCATACAGAAAAGTGAAAATATACGATGAAAGGTAATGATAAATGCGAAATGTTAGCAACGGCTATTACGAGCTCCTTGCTATTTCTTTTTGCTTGTAAAGTCTGACCACTTTTTTTTTCTTTAAATTCCACGTTCATTCGTCCCTGAGATTATGAATTTCACGATCTTTTACAAGTGGGATAAATAGAGAAACTTCAATGCAATCAGATTTCACGATAATTTATTTTAATCACAGACATGTCTCCTGCGCCTGCACGCAATCACGTACAATTCTTTCATTGTTTCGTACATGCTTCGTTTTACACTACCAGCTCGGGGAGATAAGCCGTGTTTACGTCACAACCGTCGTAAAAATAACGATCCCGAAACAATAAAGTTTACCTCTAACGGCGCCTTTTCCTATCTGGTTGTTGATTTTAATGCTACGCGAGGTTTAATTAACGCAGACTTCATGGAGATCAAAGTAGCAACGTAATTGCGCTGGAAAGATTTCATGGTTATCAGGATAATAAAGATTAAAATTAATGGATTTATTAGGTATTAGGTCTATGGTATCCGATAAATATGTCTTCGCTGCTTTTCTTCGTCTTCTTCATTATTGAGCAACAGCCTCAGTCGCCAAGCACTGGCCAGAATTTCGTTGCTTTTACTCCCTCCACAAAACCACGATCGCTGCTTCTCAATTCGGCTATTATCGGCAAACAAGGATCGAGACCGTTCTTCGACTTATAAATCTTCAATCGAACTGGATATCTTTGTTTCTTCCACTCGCCGCTACTTTTATAGCGTTCTACCCTCTTGCGCGAAGGTGGAGACACCTGCTGCTTCTTCAGGGGTGTCTTCAGGTTCTTTTTGTCCACTTCCGGTAATTTACAATCAGCATTTCTCACGAGTTTGTTGACTGCTGAGCACTTGGTGAGACGATACTTCAAACTCGATAAGTTGGGTTTCGAATTGCTAACGTCTGATATATCGAAGCATCTTTTTGGCTTCATGTAAGAAGCACTGCCGTATGCTGCGAAACTTGCTCGTTGCTTCAGTTCTTCGCCCGATGTAATTGCGCGCGGAAGCTGGAAGTTTTCTTCATTCTTATCGAATCGAGTAACACACTGTACCTTTGACGGAGGTGAGTGTCTTTTCTTTTTAATAGACGTTTGCTTTTTTGAGCAAGCACTGCGATCTTCACCCTTCGTGACATCGATTGGGGAACTTGCTGATGAACATTTCACTGAACACTTCGATGGAATTTCTGGTGCTGATGTTTGGCGTTTGGATTTACCTTTGTCTGACTTTTGGAAAGGAATGAATACTATATTTTCAGATTTACTGCATGACGAGCAGCGTGCTTTACTCTGTGATCGTTTGTTGGACCAATGGTCAGGGTGTGGTGGGGGTGGATCAGGCTTTGCTTTCTCTTCGTAAATGTATCTTGAGGAGTCAACAGGTCCTCCCGTTTGATGTGTTGGAGAAATACTTCCCTTTACTTTTGATGTCTTTATTTCAACTGAATTCGATGCTTTGCATTCTTTAGGTAATTTCTCCTTTTTTTGTTTACATGGAAGGACGACTGGAGTACTTGCGGTTTGAATAGGTTGCCGTTGTTGATGGTCAGAGCACTCGTATTGTTTATGCTCAGAATAGCATTCACGCTGTTTCTCCTTCGAGTGGCATTCCTGTTGTTTATATTCAGAGGAGTATTCTTGTTGCATGGAACAACCTTCAATTCTTGACGGTGTTTGGCAGTCGTTTGGGGAAGTTTGCTGGCGATTGCTCGAATCATTGTTTGTGCAAGTTTGCTGACAGTCGTAGGAAGGTTGACTTGTTCGTTTTGAAGATGTTTGGCAGTCCTGTCTTGACGTTTGTTGAACATTACGAGAAATGTGTTCTGGTGTCTTTGAAGATCTCTGACAGTCGTTTGTGTATGTTTGCTGATAATCTCTGGGAACTTCGTTTGTACCTCTTGTACATGTTTGACGATCGTTTGTGGAAGATTTCTGACAATCAGAGGGAACATCTTCAGATCTTCTGGAACATTTTCTTTCCTTATTCGATTTTGAGTTTTCTTCAAATTTATAGGGCCGACTTTTCACAAGTTTGAATTTGTTTCGCCTTTGTATATCGTTACCAAAGCGAGGTCCAACCAATATTCTTTGGCGCATACTTGCTTTCTGGTAGAAGCTATAGTTCGACAGTTGTCTTGGTAGTAACAAGATTTGTCGATTCATTGTATCTAAACTATGACACTTAGTAACAAAATCCATTGATCTGTTTAATGATATACCTCGAGGAAAATGAATAGGTAATTTGTTCTTCGAGAAGGGCTTTATCTTTTCTTGTAAGTTGTATTTTCCGAGCGATGGTAACTGCAATTGGACTTCCTGTTTGGAAATGCCTTCTGTGGCTTTTATTCTAATAAGCTGCACGCGCACCTTTTCAATTTTATGCAGAGTTGAATTCGCCTTTGAGGATACCTGTCACAAAGATTTATGTTTTACTAGATGCCAACCTTTTCTATACGCTGCTTAACAAAACTCAGTTTTTAAACATATTTGAAAATTGTTTCTTTTAGTGTAAAGACTTCAACTCAATTTAAACATAATTTTCGACTTTTAAAAGCATCGAATAGCAATGCATTATCCGTTTGTTTTTAATGACGAAGTCTGTCTAAGAGTTTCGATGGAGACACAGTCTCACAGTAAGTCGAGAACTCGCTGTCACTTGATACGGAGAAAGGCTTTACCTTCCGGAATAGAAATGCCAACATTTTCTGCGACGGGTAGTCAGTACATGTCACGAGAAAGACCACACATTTTTTTCTTCGTGCTCCTGTTTCAACTTTTCCCGAACAAATTGCTCTTTCAGACTTTGTACTCGTTCCCCGTCATCGTATGAATATTGATCTCGGAGTGAAAAGCATGGCCGGAGAGATTTGTTGTCTTCGAGGTTAAGTATTCTTTGAATTTCCCACGGGTAATTTTTTTATTTGGCTGACGTGTGAAACTGATATCTTTAGAATTCTGCTATTACGCGGAGTGGTTGCAAGGACGATTATTGTGCCATAATCGGTTGAAGAGAGTAAAAACTATTTAAAAATGGTTACTGAAAATTTAGGTCCATTGTACCAAAATGAAAGTGGCTGCATGGTGTTCATTTGCTTCTGCTTTCAGTTAGTTACTAATTTATTTCAGTTAGTTCGTAATTTGCCATATGAATAAGAATTTTGTACTTATTTTCAATTCGTTTGTATAATAAATATAAAATAAAACTTGAACGTACGACGAATAATTAGTCCTTATTAAAGATTCATTTAATTCACCAGAGAGGACAGAAATTTATTTAATCTCTTTCCGTAAAATTTAACTCCTTTTAACATCCCAATTAAAATATTTCGTTCACCCTTTGCAGGAACGTAAATTATACCCATTTCTCAGAAACGAATGATAAATTTGTCTATAAGCCGCCATCGTTTTGCAATTAAGCAGCGTAATGCTTAAAGGTAACACTTCTATTCAACCGCAAACATTATTCTGTGACATGAATGCACTCCGCGCGAGTAAGCAGCCTTCGAAGCCATAAGTCATCCTCATCGATAACGACGTCGAGTCATCGATCATGTCTCGCGATTAATATCTGCAGTGAACAGTTTGCAGTTTCTTACACAAACACCGGAGACGAAGCTTCCGACATCCTTTAGTAGTTTCGATTTAGTTTCAAGGGGTGACGCCGTGGTTTCATGCAGTTAATTGCAAATTCAGCAATCAGCGTTCACACATGACTTTCCAGAACACATAAGCTGACACAAGACTATCCCTAATGAATCAGCCGTAGCGCGGAGCCATCGACGTCGTAATCGATCAACCGGTTACGCGTTGCGACGTCAATTAAATTTCTCATTAGGAGAGGAATTATTGGAATTTTTGTCGAACGAAACACTGCGTGAACATAAACATAAACTTTTCTGGACACATTTGTCGAATCTTGCTGTTTAAATTTTTTTTTTTTAGAGTATTCTATGCAGAGCTGGATAAAATATTACTTCAAATAATATATACAAGATTTCATATTAAATTTTGCATGTGGTTATGCAGATAAAATATTTCCTTTCCGTAGTGTTTTCTTTTTAAACCTTGAATTCAAAATATAATTTTACATGAAGGATACTGAAAATATTGAGGATCCGTTTCGAAATCATTAACATTTAGTACCTTACGAGCAATTCGAATTCGCAACAGATTTCTCCAACCGTGTAAGCGAATCGTGACGAATCGGATCGATCAGTGTCTGCGTATGTCGAGCCACATATCAAAGATGAAATCTCCTCCCGGAACTAAAGCAATTTAGGATTGGATTCCAAAACGTCCTATGGCACCGGAAGTTCGAGCAGAATTTAACTGCTCCTGTATGAGGTGTACGCCGACGGAATTCCGAAATGCTGCGCATTTAGGGAATAACTCGCTAAGTAAACGATATAAAGCAAGATGTAATTGCCACTATATAGAACCTGACATCGAAAATGTTTGCAAAGGCACGTGATTAAATTCTACAGTAACGCTTACACGGAATTGATAAATTTAATAACATACCGCTTGTCAAATACGTGACTGTAAAGAGATAATCAGAGGATACATTCTATTCTGTATTTGCAATTGAATGATCTGAAACGACACACGAAATTCTTATTAGACGTGTTACAAAGATTATTTCAAGTT